GACCACCCAGGCACCCCCCTCCGCCCCATAGACCCCCAGCCAGGGACCCCCCCTCCACCCCATAGCTTCCCTCCGCCCCATAGACCACCCAGGCACCCCCCTCCGCCCCATAGACCCCCAGCCAGGGACCCCCCCTCCACCCCATAGCTTCCCTCCGCCCCATAGACCACCCAGGCACCCCCCTCCGCCCCATAGAACCCCAGCCAGGGACTCTCCCCTCCACCCCATAGCTTCCCTCCACCCCATAGACCCCCCCAGGGACCCCCTTCCGCCCCATAGAACCCCCCAGCCACCCATGGGACCCCCAGCCAGCGAAACCCTCCCCCATGGAACCCCCCCTCCACCCCATAGACCCCCCCTTAGACCTCCCCAGGCACCCCCTCCGCCCCATAGAACCCCAGCCAGGGACTCCCCCTTCCACCCCATAGCTTCCCTCCACCCTATAGACCCCCTCAGGGAACCCCCTCCACCCCATAGACCCCCCCCAGCCACCCATGGGACCCCCAGCCATCAAAACCCTCCCCCACGGAACCCCTCCTCCACCCCATAGACCCCCTCAGGGAACCCCCTCCACCCCATAGACCTCCCCCAGGGACCTCCCTCCACCCCATAGACCCCCCCAGTTGCCCATGGGACCCCCAGTCAGGGAAACCCTCCCCCATGGAACCCCCCTCCACCCCATAGACCTCCCCCAGGGACACCCCTCCACCCCATAGACCCCCCATAGACCTCCCCCAGGGACCCCCCTCCACCCCATAGATCCCCCTTCACCCCCATAGATCCCCCCCAGCCAGGGACCCCCCTTCCATGCTATAGACCCCCCCCAGCCACCCATGGGAGCCCCAGCCAGGGAAACCCTCCTCTACAGAACTCCCCTCCACCCCATAGACCTCCCCCAGGGACACCCCTCCACCCCATAGACCCCCTCAGGGAACCCCCTCCACCCCATAGACCTCCCCCACCGACCCCCCCCCACCCCACAGACCCCCTCAGGGAACCCCCTCCACCCCATAGACCTC